GGCATAAAGAGTTAATGAAATTGAACTGGCAATTCAGGTTAAGGAATAAGGCGATAATTGCAGCAGACATTTAAAGAGGATATTTCAGAATGCACAGAATAAATACATTCCAGTAAGAAAGAATATTCCAAGGGAGGACCCACCATCCACAGTTAACTAAACACGCTTAGGATGTTGGAAAAGTATGGAATCAATTCGCAAGTAATAGCAACGTACCATATCCTACAAAGAATGGCTATTTACAGAACATTTAAGGGGTATATGATCTTCAGTATACCCTTTGTACAAAACATCTCAAACTATTTCAGAAGAATCCCAGATTCACTACCTCCAAATGAGTCAATATTCTAAAAAGGCAGAATACTTTCAACAACCCTTTTATTTTCTTAGCTTCTCAAAGTGAAGGGCAACATTTCCATTTCCACCCATAAAATACTGCTTAGCTCATCACGAAGATTAGAATGTGAATCAGTGCTGAAAACGCTGAGCTTCATGTTCTTTGGATCACCTAGGAATAGGAACTTGATGCGTTACTCCAGCTTTACTGAAATATTTTAGTTAATCTTTAAAACAAAACAGTCAATTTTACAGTGTTTTATCATTAAATGTAACTCCAACTCATTAAATTAGCATTTGGTCCAGCCTGAGTGTCCAAATAGCTGAATGTTGCTATTTAAGCTTCACAATTGCTGTGTCTCTTCTCTCAAAATAGGATTATTGATTCATGTTATTCCAGTTCTGATACTATCTAAACCAGACTTAAAAGCTTCAACCAGCCTGTTGCTTAATTTTAAATTCCATTCACAACACTCAAGCCACAGATGCATTTATCTAGTTTCCATGAGCTATTCTTCTGCATCTGGACAGTTTCAGGAACATGGTTCTCTAAAAAGCATCACCATGCAGAAAAGCAACCTTTATGTTTAATATTCTACATTGGGCATATGTGGCTAAAAGAGCTTAAAGAAAAGTGGATTTTTCAGTTGTGTCAGAGTCCACTCATGTCGAGATCGCCCAGCAACTTGCCTGCCTTTTCCTTCTGTCTCATGTACACGGATTTTTTCAGGTTACATCTACTTAGATACTGTTCATCTCATGGCTCATAACAAACCCCAAATTCTCTCGAATGATCCAATTCCCTTTATTCTGCATCTCTCATGAGTTTATTTCTCAAGTTTATTTGCAGCCAAAGCTTCACCAGCATGAGGCCGAATGTTGTCTGAAGACTATTATTGAGTGTTTATCTCATTTCCCAATCTATTCAAGTACGTTTTGTACTTTATTTCAACTGGGGCTGCTCTAACAATTCACCCTTCTGTACCACAAGAGGTTTTTTTTTCCTCCAGAGTAGTTATTATTTTCTGATATCTGGACTTGACATCAGTAATTGCATTGTGATTTCTTTCTTTTTCTCACCCTACCAGCATTATATGGGCCATCATCCTCAATGTTCAACAAATATTTAAACATACCAATTGATTTTTCTCTACATTCAACATTTGCTACATCAGTCCATTCATGAGATACCTATGCAACATACATCATTTGTATATTCACACCCTGGGCAATGTAATATCCCTACTATGCATGCCATGATCACTCATTACTACATTCCATCCCTTAGGATCATCAGCATGAAATGCATCAGCATTTTAGGTACAAGATATGTAGTTTATTTTTATTAACTCTTCAGGCTGAACTTCTGTAATGAATTCCAACTAACCATGAGAAATGAACCTCAACAACATTGCCACATTTACCAACTCATGTTACCACCACAGACTTTTCCTATGATCCTTGAGAGTCTTAGAGTCGTATAGCTTGGAAACAGACCCTTCGGTCCAACCAGTCCAGGTCAAACATAATCCCAAACTAAATTAGTCCCACCAGCTGGCTCCTGGCCCATATTCCTCCAAACATTTCCTGTTCATGTACTTATCCAAATGCCTTTTAAAAATTTTAATTGCACCTTGATCCACCAATTCCTCAAAGTTCATTCCACACACAACCACACTGTGTGAAATATCTGGCCCTCATCTTTTTTTAAAATCTCTCTCTCCTCTCACCTTAAAAATATGCCCCCGAGCTTAAAATCGCCCATCCTAGGGAAAAGGCAACTACCACTAATTTTATCTATACCCTTCATTATTTTATAAACTTCTATCAGATCATCTCTCAACCTCCAGTGCTCCGGTGAAAAATGTCGCAGCCTCTCCAGCCTTTTGTTATTATTCAAACCTTCCAAAAATGCTGCAACATCCTGGGAAATCTCTTCGGAGCCCTCTCCAGCTTGATAATACTCTTCCTATAACTGGGCGACAGAACTGGACACAGTATTCTAGAATAGGCCTCACCAATGTCCTGTATAACCTCAATATGACTTCCCAACTTCTACACTCAAACGTGCCAAACGCCTTTTCTTAAACACCCTGTGTTTGTGTGGCGCAAACTTCAAAGAATTACGTACCTGAATCCCTCTGCCCCTCTGTTCTACAATTATACCCAAGACCCTCCCATTAATAAGTCCTGCCCGTTGTCGTACCAAAATGTAATAGTTCGATCTTGATAAACACGAGGTGTCATTTTTCAGCCCAGTGACCCATTTGATCAAGATCTCTTCTGTTGAATAATATACCAAATCTCCCGAATTAAATTCTATTCGATTATCTCTTACAAGGTCTAATGGCTTTCTGCATTTTCTCCAAGATGTCAGATGCGTGTGTATATAAAATATTCCCCCCACCCGCATATACATCTCCTTGCGCATAAAGCAGTTAAGTGTACAGAAACAAAAAACGAAATTGTAGCACCTGAGTATTAAACCTATTGTATAGCTAAGGGGCAATTTGAGATGCCACCCTTTCACCAAGTCAGTGTTTGCATCCAACTATCTCTCAAATTCTTCACATGAATTGACAATGTCAACAAGTTTGCCAACTTGCACTTTGCTTCTTGACTAAATACAGCATTTCATTGATCGCTATATTATTCCTTTCAGAGTACATCGCTGAAAGAGCCCTCAGGTATGATTTTCGTGAACACGACATTCGTGTTTTATCATGCACTTCTAAACTTACCAATTAACACATTCCCCTCCATTATCAGTCAAGAACTTCACTTATGTCTCAAGGTCCCATTTATTTTTGTACAATTTTGTCAAAGATAGCCTGGTTCTACATATTAAAGATTATCGTAGATAAATCTTGTTACAAGGTCTACAAAATGTGGAGTAAAATATCTGTGTCTTTGGAAATATTTTAATCAATCTGTATCACATATTGTTTAAGTGCAAATATTACCTAATAGCACATAATTAAAAAAGTCTGAGACTAACTCACATCACAAAATTCCTTGTGACCAAAATAATTTGTTTGGATACTTCATTATCTTTCCATCATTTTCCTCAAGAATTCCGTTCACCACTTCTCACTTCAATGATGTTGTTTCATCCTTTGAGGCTGTTTACTACATAATGATACTTCAAATCACACCTGAAGCATATACTAGCTGCTCCTTTGGCATTCAATATTATATTGCTGTTCTAATTCATTTCTCTGCTGTAATAGCAAATCTGAAGATGCTGTCATCCTCATTGTGCCTGTTTTTACGGATATCTAGGTCCGGCAACCAAACCATTCAGAAATGTAGCAAATCAGTGATACCACTATTTTTTTATATCACAGTTTCAATGATTCCACAACGGATGAGGAAAATGGCAGTTTCCCCCAAACTTGTTCAAGGCAGCTGACATTGACTACTTTTGGATCATTCTGTCTGCAAACACCACAAATTAGAACAAGTAGCCATTCATATTAGACATCTTAGCACAATCCAGTAAAGTAAACCTGTGCTAATGCAGGCATCCTCAAAATGAACTGTGTCAATCTCCGATACCATGTCTTCAGGTCCTTGATATATTTCTCCATGGAACAACCAATCTTCTTAAAGTCTGACCATTCCTCAGAGGAATTTAACAGATGGTGCTTTTGTAAATTTCATTCAAGGACTTCAAAAGAAAGTACTTCTTGACTTGCTAATTGATGGGCACCCAGTTCAAAAAATAATTTAATCTGGATTTAACTTCCTATAAGAAGCAACAATGCCAAAGCCAAAATCCTTATGCCTCTTTGATATGGGTGTTTCTTGAGTGCACGTACCTACGGTATATTCTCAAAAAAACCCACTGATGAAAGATAAAAGTCGGATCAATTCTGGCATTCTTTCATATCTATAACATTATAAAGTTGTACATCACAAGCATGTATACCTGCTAACACCAATAGCTACAGTGTTTATTTATAGGAGCAAATACACTCCCAGTTAAGATCCAAAGCATAGAATTCATCAGTAGCAAACATTTAGTGCTTTGACTTTCCATCCTCCTGTTCCAGACTCCAACTTAACAAAACCTGTTTTGCCAACAGCTAGAGTCTATTACCCATCATCTTACTCCTCTGATGATCGTGTTTGAAGTTTGACTTTCTAGTCAGTCAAAAATAAGTGTAGATATGGAGTCAGCCCTCACTATTGGCTCACTCCCTTCTGGTCTTATAATACCCCCAGTGAACTTGAAGTCCTTCTTATTTCCAGTTTTGAGACGCTTTTCTCCATTACTCCATAGCTACCTGCAGCAGCTTCTGAAAGTCCATTTCTCCATCTCTTTCTCCAAGCATTCTCAAAACATACAATGAAGCAAGCATTTGGTCATGTATCCTAATTACTTTTTACATTAATCAGAGGTTGCTTCCTTTAGGTCTTCGGTAAAGCATCCTTGGACGTTCAATGAATGTTGTATACTGTATATTTATGTCGAGTTCAACTTGAAATGTTGAGAGGAGTGTGCCTTAAAATCATAACAGCAACGAATATTTATAGACAGCATGCCATTCACAACATATAGCATGTTTTCACCTGTGATTCAGTAATGAGTAAGCAAAATAGATTTTAATAGACAAGGTCTTCACAATTTCATTAAACATAATATTATCCCAAATTCTTACCATTTACATTGATCTGTCCTGACGTACGTGGAACACCAACTAGTGTGACTGGGTATAAGCCCGATTCAGCAGGGAGAGAGAGTGCAGCTGGGAGGGATTCAAATTCAACACCTGTAACCAAGAGTCCCTGCAAAATTATCATAAAAATAAATGGGGTGAGTGAATGGGAAAACACAATACTGAATGAATTCATTTAGAAAATATGCCATTGATAAGAGTAATATAGAAAACATATTATTGGGAATTGCACAGTCTCCACATTACAACACGTATATACTGAATATATCATCCCCTATAGTGAATAATCATGCCCCCATAGTTGACAGATTCTGAAGTTTATTCTCAACTATTTGTTCATGGGATGTGGGCTCCACTGGCTTGGCCAACAAGCATCACCCATTGTTAGTTGCCCTTAAAAAACTGGTGATAAGTCACATGCCTGAATCACTGCATTTCATGTCATGTAAGTACATCCACAGTGGCATTAGGACAGGGTTGTAGTATTTCGTCAACTAAGCTGTAGTGCTGAAGTATTTTGTAGGACACTGTACAGACCTAATTAAAGTGGTATCAAACTTTCATAACGCAAGCCTTTATCCCCTCCAATTAAGTGTGTAAACCAGCTGCATTTCAAGTATCCCATGTCACTATTGATCGAAAATTATAACACAGAAGGCTATAAACACATCTTTCTTACTTTTACAAGATAAATTAGCACAATTTGTTTTCAGGAGATCCAAAATGCATCATAATTTGTCACAATTTTGCGTTGATATATTTGAAAATGTAGAGCCAGCACCACTTTAAATATGTTGCTGAATATGTTTAAGTGTCTTGTGTCAAACTATCAACATCATCAAATGCCCTCTTACATATTTGTTATATCTTTATCAGCCTTCAAAGTTTTCCAAAACAGCAGCATTACATGAATTTCAAAACAATTTAATGCAAAATGATGCATTTTTGTTCAAAAGTAATGATATTTTGAATGCAAGACCAAAAGACTTGGGGCATAGCTTCAAACGCAGTCAGAGGCAATACCTCAAATTAATATCTTTGTACAAAACTAGCTGATGATCCTCGCAACCACACAGTTAACCACCCTGACTAACCCCCACGAACCCACTCTCCCAGCTACTCACTGATTCATCCATCCAGTAACATTAAGACCAAAGATTTAAATTGATCATATAGCAGCCAGTGCTGTAAATGGCCAGATCTTGTCCTCACAGACCCTACACCACTCCCAAGATTTCTGGTGGAGGTCATTCATTTCTGTCGAAGTCAGGCTCAGAAAACCCCAGAAGAAATTGATAGCAACCTCCAGTCAAGAGAGTTTACAAGACAATAATCTAGTTATTGCTGTTGCTTGGAAGACTATAGCCTACGTAAACATTCAATTCTAGATTGGATAATGGATGAAGGGATTGAAGGGTCTGGAAATAAGATGGACCAATGTGTTTGCAAGTATCTTTTTCATTTTCTAATTTGTTTAATAAAAAAAGCTTAGCATATGGGGCATTTTAATTCTGTTATAGAGAAAAGGTTAATTCAAATAAAAAGCTTTTGCAAGTTTTCCTTGTCATGAGCTTTCGATACATCACATTTTCATAATACGAGATGGGATTTATATGGATGTTGAACAGAAATAGAGTGGTTGGGCTAGTTGGCCTAGTCCCTATCCCTAGTTGCCTGAGAAAGTGCTGCTGAAACTCCAGTGTACTGTCACTCAAATCTGAGTAATTCCAACTATATTCATTAATTACAGTTTCCCTCTTCTTTTTTCAACAATTGAAGAATATTCACAAATAATTAGTTGCAATTTGAGTCTCTCTCAGGGTCTTCACTGAATAGATTCAATATATTCAATTCAGTATTAATACTATTTTTAAGGAAAGAAATTAAAGGTTGCATTGCATGTTCTATTTCATCAATATTTTTAAAAAATTGTACCGATTGGAAATACTAGTCTTCAGTTAAAGAAGCAAGAATTATTTAGCTCTGATTCATTACGTATTTCAAATTACAGAAATTTTAGTGCCACAATCAAATTTTAAATGTTAGCTAATGGATACGTGGAGAATAAAAATGCCATGTGGCATTATTTCCAACCAGTTTAAACAATATGTAAAATAGAAGGACCTAGGGGTGCAGGGACGTAATTCATTGAAGCTGGTGTCACATATAGACAGGGTGGCTAAAAAAGGCGTTTGGCACGCTTGCCTTCATTGCTCAGTTCTTTGAGTAAAGGAGTTGGAAGGCATATTGAGGTTATACAGGACATTGGTGAGGCCTCTTCTAGAATACTGTGTCCAGTTCTGGTTGTCTAGTTATAGGAAGATCATCATCAAGCTGGAGAGGGTTCAGAAGAGATTTACCTGGTAGAAAGGTTTGAGTTATCAAGACAGACTGGATAGGCTGGGAGTTTTTTCACTGGAGCACAGGAGGTTGAGAGGTTACCTTACAGAAGTTTATAAAATAACGAGTGGTATAGATAAAGTTAATGGTAGTTGCCTTTCCCCTAGAATGGGGGATTTCAAGACTAGGGGGCATATTTTTAAGGTGAGAGGAGAGAGATTTTAAAAAAAGACTGAGGAGCATTTTTTTTTTTAAGAAAACACAGAGGGTGGTTCGCGCGTGTAATGAACTTCCCGAGGAAATGGTGAATATGGGTACAATTATGACATGTAAAAGACATTTGAGTAAGTACATGAATAGAAAAGGTTTGGAGGGATATAGGTCAGGAACAGGCAAGTGGGACAAAGTTAGTTTGGGATTATGCTCAACATGGACTGGTTGGACCTAAAGGTCCCTTTTTGTGATGCATAACACTATACCAGCAAACATATATTGGGTTCGCAAAAGTAAAATAAGATAAAATTATTTTATACCACAAGCAATAATATTGTTATGGACATTAAATCATCTACCTATTACAAAAAAATAACTGAACAACAGCATAGCAGGATTTTGAAAGTTAATGATATTAAAAACTGACAAAACTCATGATTTAGATTCACTTCTATCCTCCACATCAAAATTTAAATGCCTTATCTGACAAAAGTTCTCCTAAAAAGTTACAGAAAATTGAAACTTCATTGGAAATGGGAAGAAAACATTGTACAGAAACACAAATTCAGTTGTGAATTCAAATCCAGTATTCTCAGAACAACTGAATCCTTCATCGCCACAAAATTATCTTGCGACTTAGTATCCCTCTTCCAAAACTTCCCCTGAAACTGAATTCTCCTCAGGTATGTTCAATTCTAATTTAATTGTTGCTGACTCCAGTGTAATTTTAGTGCACGGTGGCTCAGTGGTTAGTACCGCTGCCTCTCAGAGCCAGGGACCCAGGTTAGATTCCACCTTCAGGCAACTGTGCAGAGTTTGCACACGTTCTCCCCATATCTGCATGGGTTTCTTCCAAGTGTTCTAGGTTCCTCCTACAGTCCAAATATGTGCGAGTTAACTGGATTGGCCATGCTAAATTGTTCACGTTCAGGGATATGCAGGTTCGGTGGATTCGCCATGGGAAATGCAGCTTTATAGAGATAGGGTAGGAAATGGAGTCTGGGTGGGATGCTCTTCAGAGGGTTGGCGTGTACTTGGACTTGATGGTCTGCTGCACACTGTAGGAAGTCTATTATTCTAATGTATGGATAAGAGGCATGTCAGTTAGGAATTAATAGAATGGAACATACCATACATTTTAACGTTCATGCATAAAGCCAAGGGTATTCTCATGTCGGTTAGAACTTAACAGGATGCAAGGACTCCAGATTGTTTGTATATGTATTCTTGATATGTTGAATAAAGTTCTTTTAGTCTTATAAAAAATGAAATATTTGTTTCTGTAGATTTTTCCATTACTAAATTTAACAGTAACCTACATGAGGGTAAACTTACATTTATGCTCCCTTATATTGAGTCCGAACTGACATATCTATTATCTACTCATTGCTGTCAAGTGCTCAGATCAGACAGGCAGGATATGCTGCCAATATGCCTGACAAGCACTTCCCAAGACTTTCTTCTATGGCAAGCTAACAAAGGGGAAACATTCACATTGTAGCCAGAAACATCACTTCAAGGACACCCTGAAGTTCACTCTGAAGAAATTTAACACTAATCCCAAAACATGGGCAATCTCATACAGAATCATTCCACATAGCATAAACTCAAACAAAGGCACTGCATCCTATAAAAAGGACTTTGGAATTCTACTTGACGTCATGGTCATCTTTGATGACCACACAATTTATTCTTAAATAAACTGTTAAACTTTTATTTAACTTCAGAAACATCTTCAGATTTCAACTTCTCTCTACAACGTGCCTGAACTCAATACCTTTCCAAAGCATGATGAAATGTCCCTATGTACAATTTCCTAATGTCTTCCAAGTAGACCTGACAAATTATTTAAGATTCATGAAATACTTAAATTTGCTTTAAATTGTCCCAAACAAAACATTAAAGTAATGGAACTTGAGCTAACTGTCAATGTAGCACGGATGTCTTCCATTAAGCAGACAAGATAACTCAGGCAGTTTCTTAAGGATAAATTAAAACATTAGACTAAGAAAATACGTGATACGCTACAAGTTCATTATGGGGCACTTTTCAAAAGATGGCATAACGAGTTACCTGATCAATCTCAGTTTCAGCTCCTAGGGCTAATTACAATAAGGTGCATCTCTGCCTGTATATTTTCTTCAGGATTTACCAGTCGGCAGTTGCAATTTACGTCAGAAACAGTTAAATATGTTTGGTCTATCTCTCACGATTCTCACCAACCTCCTTTTCTTACTCAAAAGATATTCCCAAATTTCCACTGGAAACTCCATTCTGATACAATGCAGAAAGATGACAAGCAAGGTAGCAACACATCAATTACATAGACTCTGGGCAAACTTCAGTGGCAACAAGAAATGAGCTTTGAAAAGGTTCAGCTGACCAACTTTCACTGGCATTCCTGTCTTGTAAAGCCAACTTAATGTTTATGGTTTAACATGTAACAGTAACACACTCAGTTTCTATAGGTAGCAATTGTAAATTGAGTATATTACTATTCAGTGGACCTACATACAATTTTTGGCATCACGCATGGACTTGCACACATTTCACACAAGTGTTAACTGTATTCTTCAGAAAGAAAATTAGAAATTGATAAAAAGAAAATAAGAAATTTGTCTTTAAAGGAAGGGTAAATATTATTGAACCATCCCCTAAAGAAAAATTCCATGACACAGACAAATTTATTTGCAGTCTCTGGGGGAAGTGTGATGACCTAGTGGTGCTGCACTAACAATCCAGGTAATGATCCAGTGACTAGGGTTGAAATTACACCATAGCAAATGGGAGAATTTGTATTGAAAAACAATCTGGAATTAAAAGTCTAACAATGGTCATTGTTGACTGAAACATGAAATACAATAAACAAATATAAATAATTTTACTTTTGAAAAATAAAGGCTGATCTGGTTCACAGATATCTTCACAGGAAAAGGAACTGCTGTCCTTACCTGGTCTGGTCTACACATGGCTCAATGCACACAGCAATGTGAATGACTCTTCAAAATGGCCTACAAGCCACTCAGTTATATGAAACAGTCCCTGTCCTCCAAAAAAAAACGGCATGAACAAATGAAGAAATCAGAAGAAACAATGGCAAACTCAGCTCTATTGACTCTGCCAGTTCCTCTGAACTGACAGGTGGGCGCTTGTGTCAAACTGGAGAACTGTCTGCCTGACTAGTCAAGCCAAAGCCTGAGAGTGTGTTTGGGAGAATGACAGTGTCCCAAACAAATTAGTACAATCTACTCCATTTTGCTCTGTTCAATTTGCAAAACAAGCCCAGATGTAGTAGCAGCACAGTGGTATAACAATCAGAAGGAATTGTCCCAAGAGTCCTCAACATCAACTCCAGATAAAATATCATGCTGCCAGGTCAAATTCTGGCAAGGAAACCTCTTGTTCATTACCACTTACACCACCACACCATACTGACAGATGAGTGTTCCTCTGTGTTGAGCACCTCTTGGAGGAAACAATGAAGGTAGAAAGGGTGCAGAATAGTGTGGAACATCCATATACATAGTCATAGTCAGAGCCATACAGCACAGAAACAGACCCTTTGAGCATAATCCCAGACTAAACTAGTCCCACCTGCCTGCTCCTGGCCCACATCCGACTTGGTCGTGGACTTATCCAAATGTCTTTTAAACGTTCTAATTGTACCCACATCCACCTTTTCCTCAGGAAGTTCATTCCACATGCAAACCACGCTCTGTGTAAATTATTTGCCCCTCAAGTCTTTTTAAATCTCTCTCCTCAAATCTTAAAAATGTGCCCCCTAGTCTTGAAATCCCCACCCCCACCGGGAAAAGGCAACTACCATTAACTCTATCTATACCTCTCATAATTTTATGAGCTTCTATCAGATCGCCTCTCAATCTCCTACACTCCAGTGAAAATAGCCCCAGCCTATCCAACCTCTCTTGATAACTCCAACCTTCCATACCTGGCAACGTCCTGGTAACCCTCTCCAGTTTAATAATATCCTTCCTATAACTGGGCAACCAGAACTGGACACTGTATTCTCGAAGAGGCCTCGCCAATGTCCTGTACAATCTCAACATGAATTCCCAACTCCTTTACTCAAAGAACTGAGCAATGAAGGCAAGCCTGCCAAATGCCTTTTTAACCACATGGTCTATATGTGACACCAACTTCAAAGAATTATGTACCTGCACCTCTCGGTCAGTCTTTCCACAACACTATTCAAAACACTACCATTAATTGCATAAAGCCTACCCTTGAAAAATGTAATACATCCCATCACCAACTTTAGCTTGGCAACACCACTATTGACTGAGCTGGTCAAGTCCTAGAGCTGATAGTTGCCTGGACTGGGTGTGTGGCAGGTGTTAAAGGAACCAACAAGAGGAGAAAATATTCACCTCATCCACACCAATCTGCCAGCTGCAGATGCATCTATCAATGGCATTTTCAGTGGATTAATCAGCATAGGCCATGTAGAGAAATCTCCACACAGAATCTCCTCCATCATGCAATGTGACACAACCACTGTGCTGAAGGAGACAGAATTTAAACAGATCTAGCAACTCAAACTTGGACATCTGGGAGGTGCCACTATCATCAGCAGCAGTAGAATTGCACTCCAAGGCAATCTGAAACATCATGGCCTGGAATATCTACCACTCTACCATTGTCATCAGGCCAGGAGATCAACCCTGGTTCAACAAAAAAAGTGTGCCAGAGGTCATAAGAAGCAGACCTAGAAATGAGGTATCAATCTGAGTGAAAATACTCCTCACTTGTCTGGATGCATATATCACCAGCAACACAAAGTATGGCACCAAAGACAAAGCTGCCTGCTTGATCGGCATCACATCCATAAATAGTCACTCCCACTCTCACCAATGCAGATCAGCAGCAGCGTGTACCATTTACAACATTCAGTGCAACATTTCACCAAGGCTTCTTGCAAAGTCCTTCCAAACTCTCAGTCACTACCATCTGGAAGGACAAGGATGGCAGATACATGGAAATGCCACCACCTACCTGCAACTTCCCCTCCAAGCAGCTCACCATCCCATTCCTTCAGTGTTGTAGAGTGAAAATCCCAGATCTCTTTCCCAAACACCACCATGGATTTACCTACACCAAATGGATTCATACAATTTAAAGAGGCAACTCATCTCATCACCTTCTCAAGAGCAAATAGGGATAGACCAATAAATGAAGTAAAGCCAGGGAAGCCTGCATCCATTGAATTAATTTTAAAACAAAAAAAGAAGGTTCAAGTGGAGCACAAACACCAAGATGATCTGGTGGAACTGAATGACCTACATCTCTGCCTTATATCTGACAAACTCTTATGTAATAACAGAATGCAAAATCAGACTCATATGAAAAAGCAAAACAAACCACATTTTCGACTCTCAGTTCAAAAGGCATGGGGTTATAGACCATCAACTGAACTTCACACACGTCTCCCTGCACCCACAGGAAATCTGTTGAAATAGAAAACAAAAACATGATTATTGACATTACCATTTTAACTACATGAGATAGCATGAACTGCAGATGCTGGAGTCGGGAACAATACAGTGTAGAGCTGGAGGAACACAGCAGGCCAGGCAGCATTAGAGGAGCAGGAAACTTGATGTTTCGGGTTGGGACCCTTCTTTAGAAATGGGGAGGGGGAAGGGAGCTGGGAAATAAATAGAGGAGGGGTGGGGGTGGGGAAGGTAGGTGGGATAGTGATAGGTGAATGCAGGTAAGGGGTGGTGGGGATTGGTCAGTGGGATGGGTGACGCAGATAGGTGGGAGAGAAGACGGACAAGCTTTGTTGAAGAAGGTAGTAAGCTTTGGTGGTGGAGTGAAAGGATGCTTGTGGATATAGTGCCAATCAAGCAGGTTGCTGTGTCCTGGATGGTGCCAAGTTTTTTTTGAGTGTTGTCCAGATGAGTGCAGCCCCAACAAGCGTGGAATATTCCATCACACTCCTGACTTGTACCTTGTAGATTGTGGATGGATTTTGGGGAGTCAGGTGGTGTGTAACTCGCCACAGTATTCCAAGCCTCTGACCGGTTCTTGTAGCCACTGTGTTTATGTGGTGTGGCCTGTTGAGTTTCTGGTCAATGATAACCCCCAGGATGCTGGTAGTGGGAGTATTCAGTGATGGTAACACCAGGGAGCAGTGGTTAAATTGTCTCTTATTGGTGATGGTCGTAGTCCAGCATGTGTGTGGGACAAGTGTCACTTGCTACTTGTCTTCCCAAGTCTGGATATTGTCCAGATCTTGTTGCTTTTGAACACGGACTGGTTCAGTATCTGAGGAGTTGCGAATGGTGCTGAAAATTGTACAATCATTGGCAAACATCCCCACTTCTGACCTTGATGGAGGGAAGGTCATTGATGAAGCAGCTGAAGATGGGTGGGCCTAGAGATGTCCTAGAACCAAGATGACAGACCTCCAACAACCACGACCATCTTCCTATGTGTCAGCTATGACTCTAACCACCAGAGTGTTTGCCCCCAGATTCCAGTTTTGCCAGGGCTCCTTGATGCCATACACAGTCGAATGCAGCCTTGATGTCAAGGGCTGTCACTCTCACCTCACTTCTGGAATTCAACCAACGTATGCACTGGTTTTTCCAAGAAAGAAAATGCCACGAGAACATGAAATAGTAGTTTATGTGGAAGAGTAGAGAAGAAAACCATATAGAAAATACTAGGGAAAGATGGCTGGGAAGTAAGCCCAAGCATTTGAGAGTTGATGAGGGACCGACAGAAGCCAGAGATGATAAGAGAAGGTTAAATGAGGAAGTGGTTATTTATTTTATAAATAAAAAATTCCCAGAGCCAAGCAACAGTCTCTTCATTTAATAAGATTAAGGTGATTAGTCTGCCTCTTAGTCTGTGGAATGGACACTTCTCAATAATACATGGTATTATCTGCATCTCTCCACAAGTGTATAAGCATCATGTACCAAGAGTCCAGCATTGGGTGTGCATGACCCTGGCTTACTCTGAACCTGGTTATTGGCAACTGAGTGGTAAAGACTAAGCAAGAGGAAGGTGAGACATTCACAAAGACAGAAGGTATAGAAATTAAGTGAATGCAGTCAGGGATATAATAGGAGTGAAGGAATTGTGGGTTTGTGGAACAGCAGAGGGACTTGCTTATGGAAGGAAGGAGAACCAAAGAGATGGAGTAGTTGAGAAAAGGTGCAACCTTCAGACTTGGCCGCTTCCTTTCCTGCCACACAACCACATCTCTCACTTGAAAGAGCAGAGACAAAGAAAAAAAAACTAGAGAATGACAGAACTAATGTTAAGTGAAAGAGACTTAAACAGATGTGGGAACGGAAATAAATAAACAAAGACTCGTCAAGAAAAAAAACCTTCATTTGACTCCAAGTAACCCCTGAGGTGAGCCATTAGGGTCATGCTAAAGTTACTCACTAGGAATTACTTTGCAGTTTCTACTTGAACATTAGGTTTAAAATTAAGTTTAGATTCTCCCTCCATTCTTTCATTGTATTTATCTTGGCACTATTCTATATCTGATTTTCCTTGGATAAATGCTACAATACTATGGCCCTATCCTCTTGTTTTGCTTCCCTGTCTGAGCACACTCGTCCTCATTACATGCTACTACTAGCCTAAGCCAGATATTCACAACCTAAGTTTGCCCCCAAAATTGACCTCAACCATTCTTCAGTCATAGAGGCACATTTAATTTGCAACATGAACTGTTTTTCTTTCCACAAATGATGCCAGACCAACTGAGTTTCTCCACCACTTAGGTTTTCTTTCAGTCACAACTGCCTGACAGAAACCACAACCTTCAGCTTGGCCAAATCCCAACCCTTCAAATGGAGAAAATAAACACAGGCAAAAGGCAGAGGCGAAGACAAAAAAGAAAAAAGTGTAAGATCGTGCACAAATAAACAAAGACTAAAAGGTATTTAAGGCAGATTACAAGAACACACATCCTTGCTGTGAACAATGCCAATAAAATGCACATAGAAAATAATTAACTCAGACCTACACATCCATATATTTTATGGTTATAACTTGCAATGGCACTCTCTCTGCCTCAATCACTTTTCTAGATGGTCCAAATATTCACACGCACATGTACAAATTAGCTGTATGCAATGGTCTATTCATAGTCGGAAGTGTATAGTCAATCTGTGCAAATGAATCTCCCATGATTAATATCTTGGGGTTACCACTGATCAGAAACTCAACTTGACTAGTCAATTAAATAAAATAGCTACAAGGTCAGAGGCTAGGAATACTGCAGTGAGTAACTTAGTCCCTGATTTTCAAAAGCCTATCCACACCTACAATGCACAAGTCAGGAGCACGATGGAATACTTTCTATTTGCCTGTATGAGTACAGCTGCGTTAACACACACAAAGCTCGTTTGTGGATGTGGTGCCAGTCAATTCAGCAACAATTCTCAGTAGCAGATGTTCATTGCAATCTTTCAGGGTTCAATTTGTTGTTGTTTCAAAAAGATTCTGAATACCTCAGTGAGAACCTCTCTCACCCTTCTCAACTACAAACTTAAACCAACCATGTCATTTGAAGTACTTTATTTGTATGAAGCCCTACCTGCAGTAAATCAACCACAACTACAAGTTGCACAAAAAACGCCTGTCAAGTCAAGGAGCACAACCTGCAATTTGTGCTCCAAGTTTACCAAGTACTCAATACTTAGCTCATACTCAAAGCATAACAATTGATTTCTCAAACAAAAACTGCTTTATTCAAGGAATTGAATTGTAGCACTGCTTACTTAAAACATCTTTAAACTCTCAAAATTATAAGGAAATAACTAGACAATGTGGCAAGAAAATAAAAGTCAATATTTATCAGTTCTTTTTGAAAATTGAATTTCCAAGCTGATATTCGCTTGAAGCTTGAATATGAAGCAAGAACATATCAATGGACTTGGGTCACAGATCACCATTGTCTCACAGCATTTACAAACAGACTCAAGGAAAGGGCCTCCTCTTGCTCCTATGTTCTTTCTTGTATTCATAGTCTTAGGGAACTGGGGATGAAGTTTAGCAAGTTCAAACTTGATGGGTCAAAATGTATCCATGCAAACGAATTCCCCACAATGTCTTGGGGTTACCAGTGACCAGAAACTCAACTTGACTAGCCATTTAATTAAGATGGGTACAAGACCAGGTTAGAGGCTCAGAATACTGCAATGAGTAACTCACCTCCTTTGGATGTGGTGCCAGTCAATTCAGCACCAATTCTCAGTAGCAGCAAGGTGTACTATCTACAAGAATGTAATGTAGAAATTCACCAAAGATTCGTAGACAGCACCTTCAGACCCAAATCCCTTTTTACGAACCTAACACTTTAACCTCACATTAACCCTATGTACTTGACCATTTACAAGAACTGTTAAAGTAGCTGTCTTTGATGTTGGACCTTTAAACCAGAGACTGTGAAACAGGGGGTTTGACTCTCCAACTACCCTGCACTACTTGGGATATGTCATATTTGAAGTACATCTCCACATTTATGATCAGAATCTCCAGTCAGAAATGCAAAACTCTGTTAGCATTAAGAAAAGTCATCCCCGTGCGATTGCCACTCCTTGGAAAATCCAATTCAATATTGCCAACTTTCAAAGAAAGTTATGGTGGTTGATTGTAATGGAAAATGTTATGTTGCAGCTCAAATAATGAATGGTGATAAGTTATTGTCATTGGCAGAACTGTTTCCCTCAAGTAAATACTTTGCAATGAGGATTTAATCACATTCATAGCTTTTAGACATTGCTGGGAAAGTATTCACGGCCCTTCCAATTACCCTCAGTTGGTTATGTTAAGAAATGTTCTTGAACCATTGCAGTCTATGCAGACAAATGACTGTCAGAGTCACCATGGATATTAATGCAAAAGGTTTATTTAAATTAATACATCACCTATTTTTTTACTTCTTTCTTCACCACGGTGATGTGCAATAATTGGTGAGTAAATGAAAGGGCTCTTGGAGGACGTGTTCTGACTGAGAGTGTTTTTTATTTTTTGTGGGCGGAGGTTAAGTGGAAGATTCAAGAGCTTTACAGACCTAAATGGGAAAAGGAACAAAAAAAAGAAAAAAAAAAAAAAAAAAAAAAAGAGTTAAAAGCATTAAAATTTCTACACTACATTTGGGAACCATAACTCCTTATGAAAAGCACATAAAAAGAAAACATTTCAGACTATTCCTTCCATTAAAAAAGCAAGATACAACAAACAGGCGAGCTAAATAAAAACATTGTTTATAGTTTTTTTAATGCACAACTCAAAATCATGAGGACAACCAACTTTTTTTTTAATTATTCACTTAAAACTAAAAGCAATTAAAAGTACAAGCATACACGTTCTCTGAAATATTTAGTATCACTACACAAAAATAGCACATCATTTCTTCAAAGGTGTTCTACTAACTTGAACTTGCTCACTATCACAAGTGGCAAATTTGTAATTTCTATCACATTATAAAATTAGGATGTGGTGCAATCAAACCTTGTTCTCAGCATTTTCTGTATTTCAAGTGGACATGGAAATACAGGAGAATTGGATTCGGCAGACTCTCCTGTTTGTGAGAACTTGGATTTGGGATTACAATCAGATTAGCTCTTTGCACACGAGTCACCATGCAGTTACTAGTCTTGTTTCTGTTATGATGTGATGCAACATGTCTTGTACAAATCCCACTTGCCTCAAAATTGGTCCTAATTGCACAGAAATCAGAAGACCTCCATCCTAAACTAATTCTCCAGTTTATTTATGAGCTGTACTCACTAGCATGTGGCACAGAAATTAATCTTCAAATTATTGCACTTAAATTTTTTTTTTTAAATTTCTTTCACAGCACACTGAAATTTGCCTTCGGGACTGCTTGCCTCTTTATATTGGTCACCGGTACCAAGGTGGACACAACCTCTGATTGTTCACCCTCCCCCACAAGATTGTCCTGTACACAAAGTGAGTGACATCCTTCAGCCTGAACCTAGAGAGTAAACAAACCATCCTCAAGTCACACCTGTCATGATGGTACAACGTCAGCCAAGTGGACCTCAGAATGTGATTTCCCTGATTGGGCTAGGTTAACAGCCTCACTCAGGGAACCCTAGCTGACAGATATAAACATGAGTGTCAGAGATTCTGTTCACTGAGAGCTGGCCCAGTGTCAAGTACTATGCATGTATAAATGAAGGGTGACTTGGTGACAAGATAATGGCCTCTGTGGAGTTATTTCAACATCTTTGACTGTAGAAAATCCTGTCTGTTCCCCTATTAAAATTAATCTTCATAATTATATTTCACACTGCTTCATCCCCCCACTGTGTAGCCAAACCTCCATGAGACCACAGACCTGATTCTGGCTGCACTCCTCAACGCAACCCCCCATTAGCCCTCATGTAACCAGTTTTACACTTTGGACAGTGAGCAACGTAGACTTAGAAGGGGGCCACTGCACTCTTCTGCCTTGACTGTTCAGTGGTTATAGTATGAGCAATCCTTTCCACCGTCCATCCGGGTGCCTGAACTCTCTGTACTACTGCTCACTATAAATGTCAATTTGGTGGCACTATCCTCTTTCAGAGTAAGGATTGGCAGGGCCTGCTTAGTCTACTGTGGTAAAAGAAAACTACTTGGTAATCAGAGAAGAGGCTTTTGTCTTAAATACAATGTAAAAGAGATCACATTCTGAGCAGAACAAAACACAAGCAAGACATGACCAAGGAAGGTTGTGAAGGCCAGAAATGCACAATATGGCCTCCTTTACATTGGCAAGACCAAGAGAGACTGGGTGACCACTTTGTGGAACACCCTTCCCATAGGAATGACTCCAACATTCTAGTTGCTTACCATTTCAATAAACAACATTGTTTTCAAGCCAACATTTCCACCCTGGTCTTGCTACAGTATGAAAGTGAAGCTCAATGAAAGCTAGAGGAACAGCAAATCATTTTTCACCTAGTCACTTTACAGACTCTAAGACTTAATATTGAGTTCCACAGCTTAAGAGCACAACCTCTGAAATCATTTTTTATTACATTTGCCAGCTCCCTTGGTCATGTCTTGTTTCTTTCTTGTTGACTTTGTTCTCAACAGAGCAAACTCATTCTCCTTTTCACAACTAACATTTACACCTATTTTAGATACTTATCTCCTTTACCTCCACTATCACTGCCTTTTGTTCTTGGCACTCAATCTGTTACACTTGCTTTTCCACACACTGTTGTTGCATAAAAACATATTCCAACTCCTTTCAATTCCAAGAAAAGTCTTGCCATTCTTAAACCGTTAACTCAGTTTCTCTCTCCACAGATGCTGCCAGACCTGCCAAGTTTATCCAGTACTTTTTTTTAATTGCAATATTTAACAGTTCGGAGATGACACAAAACTAGTTAGGATTGCAAGTTGCAAGGTGGATACTCGGTGGTTTTAGGGTGATCTGGATAAGTTGACTATGTAGGCAAAACATGGCAGATGCAGAACAACATGAATAAAAATGAAATTGAACAGAAAGGCAGAGTATTATTTCAATAGTGACATCTTGGGGAATGTAGATGTACAATAGGATTTGGGTATCCTTGTACACCAATCCATGAAAATAAATAGGCAGATGCAGAAGGCATTTAGGAAAACAAATGGCATGTAGGCCTTCATTGCAAGAGGATCCGAGATCACAAGTAGGGATGTCATAGTGCACTTAGAGAGGGACTGTTGTATGAGAGATTGGTTTGACTGGGCTTGTAATCACTAGAGTTTAGAATAATGAGAAGGAACATGGTTGCAACGTATTAAATGCCCAACAGGCCAAGACAGACTTGATTTGATTTGACTTATTACAGTTACGTGCATCTAAGTACAGCAAGGGCTTTGCTTGCGAGCGGTACAGACAGATCATAGTAAGCAAGGACATACAGATCATACGATCCTTAGACTTAGTGAGGCATGCAGGTTACATTGACAGGAGGTGCCCAAGGCAACATTAATATTAACAAGATCAACATTATTTAAAGTTACATAATCCATTAATCAGTCTAATAAAGGCAGGGAAGAAGCTGTTCTTGAATCTGATGGTGCACATGTGCAAGCTTTTGTATCTTCTGCCTGACGGAAGAGGTTGTAGGACAGCATTAGTGGGGTGGGAGGGGTCTGTGATGACGTTGGCCGCCTTTCCACAGCTACAGGCTGTGTAAGTGGACTCCATGGATGGAAGGCTGGCTTCCACGATGGTCTGGGCTGTACACACAACCTTCTGTAGTTTTTTACGGTCATGAACAGAGCAGTTACCGTACCAGGCCATTATGCACCCAGATAGTGTGCTTTCTACGGTGCATATGTAAAAAGGTGGTGAAGGTCCTTATGGACATGCTGAATTTCCTAAGCGTCTGAGGTGTTGTGCCTTCTTGACCGTCGCATCTACATGGGAAGTCCAGGACAGGTTGGCCGTTATCGTCACTCCTAGGAACTTGACGCTCTCAACCTCCACTCCATTGAAGTAAATGGGGACATGTTCTCCTTTTTTTCTGAAGTCAACGATCAGTTCTTTTGTTTTGCCAACATTGAGAGGTTATTGCATCACAACACCAAACCCTCTACCTCTTTTCTGTCTTCTAACTCATTGTTGTTTGATATCCGTCCTACCGTGGAGGCGTTGTCCGCAAACTCGTAGATGGCATTCGTTCGGAATTTGGTTACACAGTCATGGGGTCATGCACAGGAGGTACAGTAAAGGGCTGAGAACACATCCTTGGGGGCTCCAGTGTTGAGGGTTATCATGAAGGAGGTGCAGTGGTCTATCTTCATTGATTGCGGTCTATGGGTCAAGGAAACTGAGGATCCAATTGCAGAGGGCAGAACCAAGACCTACGTCTCAGAGTTTTGGATCACTCTGGAGTGGTTTATACTGTTGAAGGCGGAGCTGTAGTCAATTAGTAGGAGTCTGACATAGGTGCCCTTGTTGTCCAGGTGTTCCAGGGATGAGTACAGGGCTAGGGAAATGGCATCTGCTGTGGGCCTATTATGTTGGAAAGAAAATTGCAGGGGATCAAGCCAGGCCGGATGCCAGTTGGATCTTTCCCCTGGTTAGAAAGCCTAGAATCAGGGGTCACAATCTCAAGATAAGGAATAGGCCATTTAAGACTGAGACAAGGAAACATTTCTTTTCTTAGAAGATGGTCAACCTGTGGAATTTGCTACCACAAAAGGCAGAGAAAGCAAAGTCACTGAGAATATTCAAGAAAGAAAATGATAATTTCTTTTAGATATTTAAGGCATCAAGGGGTATGAAGAAATTGGGAATATGGCACGAAAATACAGGATCAGCCATGATCACAACACATGGCAGAGCAGGCTCGAATGGCCTGAATGACCTATCGCCGCTCCTGGTTTCTACTAAAATAAAATTATTTTTCTTGGAATTCTGAGCAACTATATTCTGTATTCCAACACTTGCGTACAGAAGACTGTAGACAAATTCTAGAAGAGAGTTTTAATTTTTTTTCTCCTCTTGCTAATTTAGTAGCATCTTTATTTAAAGTTAAGCAACATAAAGGCCACAGAGAACGTAAACTGAAGTCGTCAGTCAGTTTTTCCCGGGGTCAGCTTCCACATCTTTGAATGATATGGTCAAGGACAATCTGCATGCGAGGAACAGGGAGGGAGCCAAAGGCAAGCTATTAGGGAACTTACATGGAAATAATTCGAGAACGGGAAGAGAAGCCAGCATTAGAGATGTTATACAATTAAGAATAAAATTCAGTGAGGACACTCCCACCAAGGTGGGCATCAGCTAAGGATCAAACATACAGTTGCAGAAAATATGAACACAATTCAGAAATGGCAAAACATTCAATCATTTGTGATAGAGGAGAAGGTTGAAAATGAAATGGAGTAGTTTGTACAGATAGAGGGGCTGAAAGCACATACTTTAACAAAGATTTAATGATGATTATTTATATAAAGCTGAAAAAACACTTAAAAATTCTCCAGCAAGGGGAAGACGGTTTACATTTATAATGATCCAGTTAAGATTGATATTAGGAAATCATTGTTCACAGAATGACCAACAGATGGAATAAACATCCAAAGTGAATACTATTTTTTTCTTTATTCTTTCATGGAATACAGGTGTCACTGGCAAAAAAAAGAACATTAACCATCCTTAACTGCTCTTGAACAGAGTGGCTTACTATCCATTTCAGATAGCAGTTAAGGGGCAACTACATTGCTGCAGGTCGATAGTCACTGGTCAGTGTAGTCATATTATCACTACATCACCATCTCCCTCAAATGGAGGCAGAACCTTGGGACAGTTTTGGCAACAACTTGATGTCATAGCATGGGACTTTGATCACTGAGTGGATAAACTGACAGGACAATTTGTTTACCTCATTCATAACTATCATTTGATGGTCAAGACTAATCCATCTTTGGATGGATCAAACTTGGAAAACTCCCATTAACTGTGATTTGAATTCCAATCACTATGAAATACTTTTAAGGGCTTTGGTCAAGTTTGCAAATCGAACTTAATGTAAATATGGACAAAAACAGCAAGGAAGGCACAAGATTACAACGTCCACATTGTAAAAGGTTGCATATAGACACCACTAGCTAAATTGTGGGCTTCTATTCTTCACAATATAAAAATGTTTTACCTGACAATCGGAAGTTTTGTAAGAGGAACTGGGGGTAATTTCACACCATCAGGTAGCGTGACATTTTCCATAGTACCAGGGCATTTTGTGGTGTAGTTCTCCAAACTCTGAGAAACTTCCTTTTTCTCTGCAAAACATAACCATAAATAAGAACAGCATTTCACTGGGTTATTTGCTCAACAAGAGTTCCAAATTTTAGCCTCTTGGTCAGGCTGCAACTGTGGAAAATAATAAAATTGATCAGGTGTGGAAAATGACCTGAAGTGATGGTACTCAATTTCTGCGAGAATATGCGATCCTTTGTCAAGAGGTTTTGCAAGCGTGCACGATTGTGGCCTTAAACTATATTCTGACAAAGATAAGTATTCTCCTGAACAGTTAGTACATGTAATTAGATTACATACCATATCTTCGCCAAAGCTGCAGCCTATTCCATAAGAACCATCATTATGAAATGCAGAATAATCTCAGATCGTAAACTATACCTCAGCATCCTACTTAAAGCCAAATCAAATCAAGACTGTTGGAACTGCCACATCATTTGTAAACTTTGTACAGTTAATTGAATAGGGCATGTGGAACCTTATGACCAAGTTTGTTGGATCCATATACAAAAAACAGCAATAATACAAGCAATGCTGAATATGTAAAGCACTAATTCATCAACAGATCCTATCCAGCAAACATGCTTCAATGCATCAAGCAGCAGTGCCCATTTCACGATGTTAACCCTAACTTGGAGTAGAAGTTACAAATAGCCTTAAAAATGCAATTAGCTCTCAGGCTATTTACATTATAAATTAGTGTCTTTGTGCAGTCAAGTCCAGAAAAATAATCTTTCAATAGAAAGTTCACATGGCCAGGCACATCGTCCACAGATCAAGCTAAAATTGAATAATTACTTTAACACAAAGAACAAACTACTATTGCAATACATGAGGCAGGAAATAATTTGCTAGCAATGATGGATCAGATAAATATACAACAGTAAATTCTTAATTCAGTATCAGTTATAATATGCGATTTGAAATCCCGGATAATTCAAATACTTCAACTTAAAGCATGACTTGGAATTATCAATCGACTACCCTGGCCTGGTAGAATGGTTGATTAACACATTCTGAACAGTTGTCAATGGAAAATTTAAACAAAAACACCAAATGCTAGCAATGTACAACAGATTTGTCAGCATCTATGGAGACAACAAACAAGTGAATATTTGAGACCTTTCTGCAGAACTGAAATCTAAAAAAAGGTAGACAAGCATATGAATACCAAACAGAAGGAGGAAACACATACAAACTCAACAAAAATGACAACTTTGTTCACATACAGCACTTCAGCTAAACACCAGTTAAATCAGCACATGGAGTTTGGTCTCCTTCCAAGATTGAACATATTGGTCCAGATATTCTCATTTCCAGATAGTTGTGGACTAGATATACTGCCTAAGGTGCATGTTCAGATCTGTTAGAAATCCAAACTTAAAGACTACATCAGAATTTCCCAGGAAGTTTAAAGCTCTATTGGGTAATTACCTTATATCTAGAGTCTTCTGAAAAGCTCCCCAATTTACTTACCTGAATAGCTATCATGGAAATGTTAGATAGTTACTCAGGAGTTGGAACATATTAATCTATCTAATAACACCACCTTCTTCCAACTCTATTGACCCAATCTATCTTAGCATTCTATCCTCTTTCCACACTTGGTATACAAATTTGCCCAACTACACATTCACTCATACACTCAAACCAATAAGGTCATTTAAACTTTTTTTTGGTGCAATTCAGCAGCTGACGCTGTAAAAAACAAAGGCAAGGCTTGGTCTCTCCTGTGCTGCAATAAGTCCTGAGGAGCACCCTAAAAGAGGAAAGATAGGTAAGGAAACAGGAAGGTTTAAAACCAGGCGGGAAAACACACCGATTGTTCATCGGAGGCTGCATGGAGGATGTTACCCAGCATGGTAACGAAACGTCTGTGGAACAACAAACCAGCTCGGCGAGCCAACCAACCTCAAAACAGGAAGGGTTAAGGAATTAATTGCGGAAATTTGGGTATCACTTGCCGAAGGCATGGTTACCAACAGTGGAGCAATTGAAATCTGAAAGTCTAGGATTAGATGAAAGCAGCTGTTGAAGACTAATCTTCAAACTATCTTTCATCCCAAAATCCTTGAAAGCATTGCCATTTCTCAAACCAATGCCATCTGTCCCAGAATTCTACGTTTCAATCCTCCATATCACTTAATGTCCCTACCGCAGTTGTGAAGGGCTTTTTATCAAAAATCATAAGTGGCCTCCCACATGGGGTGGCATAAACTATCTTTCCTCCTCTTTTTCAAAATGCCCATAGCCTTTTACATGACTGATGACCTCAACTTCCTCCAACATCTGTCCAGTTGGATGGCACTGCACCATTTGGTTCCATTCTTATTAACTAATCACAGAATCATACAGTACAGGAGAGACTGATCAGTCCATCAAGTCTGCACCAACAGAAACTACTTTAATCTACACTGGTTTTAATTTCCAGCACTTGGCCCACAGCCTTGAATGTTATGACATTGCAAGTGTTCATCCACGTACTTCAAAATTGTGAAGTTTCCCACCTCAAATACACCCCACAGGCAGTGCATTCCATAAAACCACAACGCTCTGGATGAAAACATTATTCCTCAAATCCCCTGTCAGCCTCCTGCTCTTCACCTTAAAATTATGCCCCCTCGTTATTGACTCAATTTAGGGGCACAGCTGCTTTTGATCCATCCTGTCCATGCCTTTCAATCTTCTACATTGCAATCAGGTCTCTCTCAGCCTTCTCTGTTCCAAATAAAACAACATGAGCTTATCCAACTCTCTTCATAGCTAAACTGTTCCATTCCAGAGTTACTTCTGCACCCCTCAACTGCAATCATAACCTGTGTATAATGCAGTGACCACACATGCACACAGTACTCCAGCTGTGGCCTAACCAAAGTTTCGTACAGCTCCAACATAACCTCCTTACTCTTATAATCTATGCTATGACTGATAAAGGCAAGTGACCCATATGTTGCCTTAACCACACTACTAACCTGTCTTGCTGCCTTCAGGGGTCTATGGTCAAGCACCCCAATACCTCTGTTCCTCTGAGCTTTCTCGTATTCTGTCATTCATTGTCACTCCTTTTTCTAATCACTTCTTCCAAAGTGCACCAGCTCTCATTTATCAGGGTTAAACTTGATTTGCCACTCTTCTGCCCATCTACCCAATCCATCCTCCTATAATCTAAGACATTCTTCCTCATTGTCATCTGCAAACTTACATAGCATACTCCGCTCATTTTTTCCTGTATCACACATGCATTACATATATCACAAACAAGGAGGAGCCCAGCACCAATCCCTGTGGTATGCCTCTGCATAACAGCCTACAGTCACACAAACAGCTTTCTATCAACACTGTCTCCTACCACTAAGCCAATTTTGGATCCAACTTACAAAGTTACTACATATTCCATGTGCTTTTGTCTTCTTTACTGGACTCCCATGTGGGACTGTGTCAATGATTTTGCTGAAATCCACGTGAACTAGATCATGCCAGAGAGGCAATAGCCTAGAGGTATCATCACTGGACTGCTAATCCAGAGACCCAGATAATGCTCTGGGGATCCAAGTTCAAACCCCACCACAGCAGATGGTGGAATTTGAATTCAATAAATATTTGGAATTAAGAATCCAATGATGACTGAGAGTCCATTGACGATTGTCAGAAAAAACCCATAGGGAAGGAAACTGCCATCCTTACCTGGTCTGGACTACATGTGACTCCAGACCCGCAGCAATGTGGTTGAATTTTAACTGCCCTCTGTGCAATTAGGAAAGGGCAATGAATGGTGCCCAGCCAGTAATGCCCTCATCCCGTGAATGAATAAAAAAAAACTGCACTACTTTACTTGGCCACTTCTGTGAAAAACTAAATTACATTTGTTCGGCACGACCTCCCTATGACAAAGTCATGCTGACTATCCGTGATCAAACACTGCTGCTCTAAATGGAGGCCAATTATCTCCATCAGAAGTCTCTGGTGTGAAATTACACTCACTCAGTCTGACTTTTTCTTCCTCATACATTCTGTCATTTTCACCACTTGCATTCCCACCTATTTTTATGTCATCTGCAAACTTGCTGTCGTATGTTCATTTCCCTCACTCAAATAACTGATGCGTTATAAATAACTGGTTTGAACCCACTGATTCTTGTGGCACATCACCAGTCACAGGTTGCTACCCTGAAAATGCCCTCCTTATCCCAACTTCCTGCCTTCTATCAGTTAGCCAATCCTCTATCCATGCTAATACATGAACCGAATACCACGGGCTCTGACTTATGTAGTCGTCTAACATGTGGTTCCTTATCAAATACATTTTGGAAATTTAAATAAATCTACTGCTCCCTCTTTACTTGTCATGCATGCTACCTACTTACCACCACCTGCAAGTTCCCCTCCAAGCCACTCACCACCTGACTTGGAAATATAATCGCTGTTCCTTCACTGTCACTGGGTCAAAATCCTGGTATTCCCTCTCTAAGGGAACCTACAATACATGGACTGCAGCGGTTCAAGGCAGCAGCTCACCACCACCTTCTCAAGGGCACCTAGAGAAAGCAATAAATGCTAGTCACCCAAAAACAACTATGTCCCACAAGTGAACAGGAAATAAAGTTTATCTCTACCACCTTTCTTGAAAAATTAAACCACATTAGCTGCGGCACCTCTGTTGTAGGCAGACAGCAATTAAAAATTTGGGTCACAGCCCTTCCAATTTCCTCCCTCATCTCCCAAAGCAACCTGGGATGCAACTCAACCAGACCTGGGGATTTGTTCACTTTAAAAGCCTGACCAAACCTCCAACACGTTCTCGCTCATTGTCAATCTGCTCAAGAACCTCTTGGACCCTCTTCCAAAATTCCATGCCGGCATCATCCTCCTCCAAAGTGAAAACAAATCTGAAGTACTCATTTAACAGCCAAAACCAGTCTGGCTCCTCAAACAGATTGTCCCCTTGGTCCCTAATGGGCCCTTCTCCTTCCTTGGTTATCATCTTCCCCTGGTTATACTTACAGAATATCTTGGGATTCTCTCTAATCTTATGCGTTATTGTTTTTCCATGCCCCTGCTTTGCACTCCTATTTGCTCAAGTTCTCCCCTGCACTTTCTCCTGCATTTAGGCCACCGTTAATTTGCTCCCTTTGAGCCTTTTAAAAGCTGCCCTTTTCCTTCTTATCCAGTCCAGAATATTCCCAGGTATCCATAATTTCCTGGGCTTGTTGTACACAAGGATGAAATGTACATGTTGGGCTTGCATTCTTGCCAATTCTGTTTTGAATACTGCCCACCCCCTTGCACATTGAGAACAGCTACATCCTGGGTAAATCTATTGCAGATCAGTTTTCTTTGGCCAAATTCTGCTTTCCTTTAACAAAATACAGAGTTAGTCGTCTTTTCACTCCATAGATGTAATTTCCAAATTAGATGAAATGATCTCCTTCCAAAACTAACCTACATTCCTGATTTTCTAGATTCCTCAAATCCATTTTGTTCTCCACTCTCTCAATTAGCTCTAATACCCTGCCATATTTCTTTCCCAATGTTCCTGCTCCATATCCATTATCTCCACTCATTATCCACTCAATCACCAAGTGATAAAACTTATAATTATTGAAAATATTGAACAAAAACAGGACATTTTATAAAGAAACACCCAACAGATCTAAAATTATCTGCAAAGATTACAATAAACTAGTTAAACAATGCAATGCGTGCATTTTATTTTGCCCCTTCTCTTCAACCTTATTCCTTTTCAAACTACTGCTTACATCTAATACCTGTGAATTTAGTTTCTTACACAAGAAAAGTAAAATGACAATTCCCCAATTATAACACACGAAAGACAGAATGATTTGTATTTCAAAACTGTAAAGAAAACAATAAAAAAATGTTAAATTATCCTTTTATATAACCCAATGTTTTGTTTCTTCCATTTATTGTCATTGTAAGAGTTGATAGTGGCTTTTAATTATTTTCTTGCAAAATACAAATAATTCAAAGAACCAGCAGACAACTGCAGTTTCTTAAACATCACAAGAACAGTTAGCAAGCTTTCTTAGAGTTGAACGGCATCGACATATTCAACAATAATTGATCACCATATCATCTAGTTAAAAGCAAATGACTCCTCAAGTTTCAGAAACAGACAAATCTTAAAAAATTAATGTGTCAAGCTAAACTTGGTATAATATCTGGGCTACAGCTAACTTTTAAACTACTCTGGTATTGTGTTTAGAGATTTCAAGCATAGTCAAATAAACCACATCGAGATAATTATTTTGTCACAAAACACCAGCTCAAGACTAACCCCAATATAAAATGGCCATATTCCACATAACTGTATCCCTACCTTGATCAGAGAGGAAATCAAGCATGGTTTGAAGCAAGAAGGACAGATGGCGAACTGCAAGTGCAGGATTTCCCATTCGTCTTGAAGCATAAACAAGTTCGTGGAGTAATCGCATTTGTAGCGCTGGCCAGCCTTTGTGAGTTCCTGCAATATTAATTTAGAATTACAAATGAGAATAATTGTACACAGAGGACCAAAATTGAGACACACATCAACTTCATGATCGTAATCAGAGTTCAATGAATGGTATTCTTAAAATTGAATAGAGATGCAGAGGAAACTCCTTAAGCACTTACAGCAGGTACGAAAACAACAGACATAAGTAAATATGGTCCCCATCAAAAAAAACTCATTGTGGAAACACAGAACTAAGTCAGCAACTAAACAGAATGCTGGGGAATGGCTAGGATGTCAAAGGCAATTAAGCAGAATACATTACCAATAATAACATGTAACTTTGACCAAACCAGATCTGAATAAACATATTTATAAATACTGAGCATATTCAATACAGATTTTTTTTGTCAATCTACGTTTGGTCTATAGCTGGACTGAACCACTATCATACATTACAATCATACATGTTGCATTAGATTAAGGTAATTAGATGTAAGCCATCCCGGTGCAGGAATAGGAGTTAACAAAAGCATTACGCCACAATGGACAAATATGATGGGAAGTGTTATAAAAGGCAAAGAACAGTTGGTGGCAGAGGAACAATCAACAAAAGGTTGATAAGAAATCGATTACAGACAGATAATATCTGATCAGCAACACAACCTAATCAGTGGATTATGCACAATTTGCTCAAATTCATCAACTGCTCACACCAGTACAAGAGATCACAGTTTTCATTTTTAGGGACTACAAACTGAACTGCAAATTGGACTGCTACAAAATGAAAAGGGAAGTTTTGTAACTTAAAAATCAAATTTAAATATTGTTGAGCTGTGCAATATGAAAATGTCTTTTGGAGACAAAAAGAGGAAGACACTAAGAATGAACAGTAGGACAAAAAGCTTTCAAGTTTAGGCAATTCTGCCAGTTAAAAGCCATCTGATCGGTGGAGCTGCAGGGTTTAAAAACATGTTCACTGCAGTTACTTGAAAACATTTGGAGCCTGCAGACAGCATCTGTCTCTCCATGCAGTGGAGAGAAAACCCTAGAAAGCTGAAAAGAAAGAATTCTGACAAAAAGAACACCCGAGAACTTGATCAAGTTGAGGGACATCCATCACTACAGAGTTAAACTGCATCTGACCAATGCAAAAACAGAAAATAACTTTGATGGAAAAAGCATTGTCTACTTGTGGTCTGGACTGTTGCTCTTCAGAATTTTGTTTGCCCTGTCTATATTGTTTTCTAAACTATTTGACTTTTTTTTTCTGTTTTAATTGTGATCAAGTTTGGGGATATTGAAGGGGAGTAGTTTAAGCTGAATTAACTAGAAACCTTAATTTTTACGAAAGCAATGACAAGAAATTGTGTTCCAATAAATAGTTATCCCGAATGCTACAAAAGGAACCTGGGGTGGTCTGTTTTGTGCTGGGTGGCGGACAGTCAGGAAAATGAAATGTTAGTGGTCTCAGTGGGATTTTACAGTTTACCTTTTGCTGGCAACTTGTGGAACAATGAGGCATAACATGCAAGGCACACTCAGTTCCAAGGGGATGTTACAGTTGGATGTTCCAAACTATTGGCTACCTGCAATTCTGCCCGAAATAGGAAGGAGCAAGGGTTTCAAACTGTCCCTGAAGATAGTTCAAAGGTCCACAGAATTCAAAAAGGTCCCAGACAGTGTCGAAGTCATTGAAAGACAGAGATAGAAAGATGTACATTCCTTGAGAGGTAGCTCTGCTTCTGTTAGTACTGCTGGAAATGCAACTGAACCACATGAAATCTGCGCAGCAGACTCTGAGTAGTCAGGAGTAGTTGAATATGTCTGTACTGATAGAACTCAAAATAATGTTTAAGGAATTAGTAGGCAACTAGCTGTTGGTGTCAAAGCTCCACAAAGATGCTGGGAACTGTCTGGGCTCAGCAGACGTCATATGCTACTAACAATCAGCACAGCTGAGACAGGGTTGAAAAGCTCACAAGCAGTATTTGCTTGATACAATTGGATATGATTAGAGGCTCAGAGGAAAAGGAGCAATTCTAGTTTGATTAAGCTGTCACCAAAAAGCTGTAGATCTGCTTGTTATGAAGTAAAGAAGTGTCGTTTTCAAGTTCAGCAGGCAAACAGCAAGGAGTCATTGAGGCAGGACAATGACAGGATGTCTCTTGAGAGGGAGTTTCAAGGCTAGCTTGGCAGAAGTAAAGAACTGTAATTCTTTATTAACTTAGTAAGATTTCATACCCATGGATTCCATAGATGTGTTTCAATTGTATTTTTATTTGACGTGCATCTTAGGGTGTTCAAGAGAGAACAGGGGAAATAAAAATGGAAAGCCAGGAAATGGCAGAGAAGTTTAATATATATTTTGCCAGTCTTGACGATGGAAGATACCAATCACATTCCCAAAGAACTAAGTAATTGAGCAGTTGGGTGGGGAAAAATATAATAATTATCACTGGTATTAATCTTTCAAGAATGCTTACATTCTGGTAGGGTCCCAGAGAACTGGGAAAACTGCTCACGTAGCATCTTCATTCAACAAGGGAAGGAGACAAAAAGGAAGGAAACTATGGTCCAGTTCGCTTAACATCTACCATTGGAAAAATGTTGAAATCTATTACCGAGGTTGCAATAGCAGAAATATGTAGAATATTCAAGCAGAGTCAGATTGGTTTCCTGAAGGGCAAATTATGCCTGATGAATTTATCACAGTTTTTTTGAAGAGATAAGCAGCATAGTAAAAAGGAAACCAACAGGGAATTTATTTGGATTTCCAAACAAAACTGAAAAAAGGTACCACACTTTAGGCCACTCTATTAGAGCTCATGGTGTTGCGAGTTGCATTTTACCATGGTTGGATGACTGGCTCACGAATAGGAAACAGAGTTGGAATAAGGGGCACATCTTCAGGATGGCAACCTATAACTAGTGGAGTGCTACCAGGATCAGTGTTCAGGTTGCAGACATTGACAACGTATATTTATAACTCAGACGAGGAAAATGGAAGTCTATGTGCTACAGACAAGTTTACGGATGACAAAGTGAAATGGGAAAGCAATTGGTGTGGACAACACAAACAGAAGAATATAAGCAGGATGAGTGAATGGGCAATAGTTTGGCAGATGGAATGTAACATTCGAAAATGTGAGTTTGTGCACTTTGGCAGAAAGAATAGAATTGCTGAACTGTAAATTAATTTAAATGGAGAAAGGCTACAGAAAGCTGCAAGAGAACTTGAGGGTCCATATGTATAAATCATACTAAAAAAAAAAAAGGCATACAGGTTCAGCAGGGAGGTCTTGCTAAAACTATATAAAGCACTACTTAGACCACTAGATTACGGTCAACATTTTTCACTCTTCTATCCAAGGAAAAATGTACCCATATTGGAGGTAGTCCACTTTGATCTATGGTATGAGGAGAGTTTGAGTAGCTTGAGCCTTTACTCACTGGTGTTCAATGAATGAATAAATAAATGAATTGAAACATGCAAAAAAAAAAAAAGGTGCTTGTTGTGGTAGATATGGTAGATAGTTCATTTCACCTTGTGGGAGAGTCTAGAACAAGAAGGCATCATTTCAGACAAAGGGGCCACACAACTAGAACAGAAGAGAAAAACTTCTTCTCTCAGAATAGCAAATCTGTGGGATTCTTATAGCCAAGGGTCATTGAGGCTCGCAATTAAGAACATTCAAGGCAGAGATAGAAAAAATGTAATCAAGGGGAGAATCAAAGGTTATGGGCATAACACAGGAAAATAGCATAGCAAACGCAAATAGCTCGATCATAGACAATTACCCATTACTTGTTTATCCTAGGTGTTAAAGTATAAGCTGTACGTATGTTGCATCTTGCATCACTATTCTAAGCAGGAAGCTCAAATGTTGTTTGTTCAAAGCCATGTGCCTTCGTTCTCTTACTAAAGTCCCCTGGATCTTGCACTGTGTCAACTTTTAATTTTAAAAAAGCACCCTAGTGCCTTGCCAAATTTTTGTTACGATCGGCTGTTTGGTCTCAGATCATAACAGCGATCATTTCACTGCAACATGTAATCAACAATGACAGTAAAGTTTTAAGAAAATAAGTATTTTGATTTGCAGCCTGCTGCATGCACAGCTGAGCTTGTACAGTACCTTTCAATTGTGACAAGGGTTCAGACTCACTCGAGGCAGATGGACCACTCTATCAGAACTCCCCATTAACATGAATGTTCCTACATGGAATGAATTTGGCTGTTCTCAACCTTTTCCTGGAGGCCTTGATTTGATAGAGCAAGTAAAAAAGGTGCAAATACCTTCCATTCGAGAAGCACACCTCTTATTTCTTTGATCAAAAATTGAAATGGTGACCACTACAAACAAAACCAGTGTCTTATTCAACAGTCCAAGTCTGGTGATTGATGGGTTAATTTTTTTTAAAAGACAAGCCAGTAATACTTAAACATTACTGACTAAACAGCCTTCCAGTCAAATCTAGCACAGAATATCAACATTCAATTTTGGCACTTTAACTGATTGAAGTAGGCTATGATTTAAGTGGAATAATATTGATTATGAACTAAAATTTAGGATGCGCAAGCTTAATACAAACTTAACAAGAAGGAAAAATCAAATTTTACCTTTGCTGAAGTCTTGGGGATCCAGTGACAGGCTATATCCAGGTAATGTCTCTAACAGCAGTTTGTAACAAGCTCTCCACCCAGGGTCAGCTATTGATGGTGTCACACATTGCATTGCCGCTACACGCTTGAAGAAGGCAGCTTTACGATGAAAACCTATCAGGTCATATAACTCAGAAAGGACACTATATCGCTGAATCTTCTCCTCTTCAGAAAGCTAAAAGATACAACAATTTCATGATCTAGGAAATACCAATCATGTTAAAATTTATTACTCAGCAAGAGCATACAGATAATTTTATTAAGTTTGTGGGGGGGGGGGGGCGGGGAGAAAAAGCACATCTTGGTACAGTAACTTAATTGGTTAAAAAAGATTTGCAAAATGAAAGATTTTTGGTCAGGTGGAAAATCTATTATCCTTTTCTGCTCAACATCAACATTTAACGTTGCATTAGTGGTCTTGCAATCTCTGTCCTTCAATGAACAAAACACAGTCCATTCCATTAATTCTTTCTATTCTTTCAACTATAAACATTATATCATCAAGTAAACTGTGCCAGTCTAACAAAGACAATTGTTCTTCAAAGTACATTAATGTTTAGACAAGATCAACACGAACAAGTTATGCCTCTTCCATAAAGCATCTCGTCACATATATCCAATGTGCAAATGCCTTCTGTCTTGAAGGTAGAACATACGTTCATTCACAATAGTTTTCAACATTCAGTGTGTAATATCATGGTATCTATACTTGTAAAGTTTGTTTTAATTGGTGAGCTAAGTTTAAAGCTTAGCTTTGAGGAGCTCCAAAATGCATTTTTCCACAGTTCTATGCTCTGAACCGCAAATTTTTTTCTAACCAATTTTTTAATTCTGCGATGCAAAGAAGCAACCATGTGCAGTCACAAGACCTCTGGTTAATGCAGCATCAATGTGGTGTTGGCTACATTAGAAGAACAGATGTATCATAAAGTAGGTCAAGCAGAGGTGCATATCCAAACGATCAATTACAGGGAAAGGGCAGTTTTTGGAACTTATTTTACATCAAATAGAACTGTACAGAAACAGGTATTAGTGCAAAGATAATTTTCAATGCTATCAACATAATTTGATTCTTGGAAAATCCGATTGTATAGTCGTAGCTTTGGATAATACTTTCATCACACATTTTTGGATGGAATAAATCTTCCTAGGGATTCCCTCAAGATTGAGGATGATTTGCTTCCATTCAGTTCAATGGATTTACCAGCCATTTCAGAACACCAATGAGCTCCCATATGTGGGCAGGTGGTACCTGACACATCAGGTAGAGAATTTGTTTGAAGGTTCATTCGCTTTTTCCAATGCCTCGACTTTACCCCTGGATGTTTCCAGGGAATCCAAGAATCCCTACAGTGTGGAAGCTGGCTATTCACCCCATCGAGTCAACATCAACCCTCCAAAGAGCATCCAGACCCATCCCCTTCCCTATTCCTGTAACCCACGGCTTACCAACCTATCCCTGGACAATACAGGAAATTTAGCATGGCCAATCCACCTAACCTGCACATCTTTGGACTGTGGGAGGAAACTCACGCAGACACAGGGAGAATGCGCAAACTCCACTCAAACAGTTGCCTGAAAACATCCCTAAGGCATTTCCACTGTCCCCTTAGGAGAGGCTGCTGTCAGGCATACAAATGATGTACCCAGTCCAGAAAACTAATTTCCTCTTCCAAACAGCTCCCACAGCTCAACACCTCCTCAATCTACTGCAATTAATGTCAGACTTGGGAAAATGTGGATCGCTTTCCGTATCTCTTCAGCCTTCTCTCATTAAAACCATACATGAGCAATGAAATTCATCATTGATGCCAATGTGCCAGCTTAGCCTTCGGCCAACTAAGAATGAAAAAAAAACTTGAGGAGCAGCACCTCAAGTCAAAATGAAGATCATGTTTTACTGGTCCGCAGTGATCCCTGCCTTCCTACATATTTCAGCCTTGGATAAATCAACAGCAAGCACCTCAAAGCACAGACAAACTACTGTTAGCCTTTGCAGGATCCTCCAAATGCAGTGGCAAGGTAGTCCGACAGCTGTGTCCTCCCTTAAGTCAGCATGCGCAATATTGCATGACTAAGTCAGCTTCACTTGGTGATACATGATCACGTGACTTTTATAGTGTACATGCACTTTTAAAACCAAATGCCAATTTTAGATTTCCAAAAAAGGAACATTTAAACAATTGTGAAGAGCTCTATTTACCATCAGAGCCAGTTCCAGAAAAACTAATTTAATAATAGATAAAAACCGAAAGAACAGAAGATGTTTTAAATCAGAAACAAACATAGAAATTGCTAGAAAAGCTCAGGAAGTCCAGCAGCATCTGTGAAGAAGAATCAGAGTTAACGTTTTGGGTCCGGTGATCCCTCCTCTCCAGACCAGAAACATTAACTCTGATTTCTCTTCACAGAAGCTGCAAGACCTGCTGAGCTTTTCCAGCAATTTCTATTTTTGTTTCTGATTTAATAATAGCTTTATGTCATCTTAAATGGGCAACACCAAATTCTTGAATGCTTCACTTTTTATTGTTGCAAAAATTTTTTTTAAAAATTGCCAAAGCACTTTGTCCTTGTATTCATCAAGACGGAATTGGAAAAAATAGCAAACCTTGAAGGATTCATCAAATGATACTGCAATGGGAAGAGGTTTTTGATTAGTTGCCAAGTCAACACCGATTCGAGGCACTAGCAAACACTTAACACTCAGGCTTTTGTTCGAATTCAGTCTCGGCAAGTGAACTCTGGACCACGGCAGAAAAGCACATGGGAACGGCAATCTCCCAAGGGTTCAGATGTAAAAAGCACAAAGTATGGATGGATTCTCTCTGCAGAGGACAGGATCCTGCATATCCTTTATAGCTTCTAGCACCCATACAAAATCCACATTACAACCCCACTGATAGTCTTGAACTGGGTATGTGAGATTCTTAGATCAATAAAATTGAATGCTGGATCTAATATCCTGCATTTTACAACCAGGGCCTGCTTGTACACATTCAGTACCCACTCATTGTGAACAAATAAAATAACATGCTATTTGATATGATCTGCCAGTCATTCGGATACATTTCTTACCTCACAGCATCACCAACACATTTATGTGGAAAGGTAGGATTTCTTTTTGGCTTAATTGTATTATCTGTCACTGGAGATTATCATTTATATTGCTAAATAGCAGCAAAGTACCATTTGTTTCTTAGATTTTTGAGACTGACTCAAATATTTCCAGACCTAAATTGTTGGTCTTTGACTCTTTGCATGACACACAGCAAGGAAAGATCTGATTGGGATAGTCATTATCCCATAGAATAGCCTTGATCCAACCTATTCAAGCACTAGGCTTGCATGGGGACCAAGTGGTTTGGGCCCTATTTACTAGGTTGTTTAAAAAGCCAATCTTCTAATGCATGGACCTATAGGAAGCCCAACATGTATACCTACTGACCCCTGAAGGTGAGCTTCTGGTAGAAGTAAACAAACATTCTGGTAGAATCTATTAGCAGATATCTCAACTAGCAGAAAAGGATCTTGGTTGACTGCTCAATTTCAAAAGGTGAATTTGAGCACAGATGAAGCCTACTTAATTAGAAATGTGCAGGGGATATTTGGTTCAGGAACATTCGTCTTGTGAAAGCCAATGAAAATGTTCATAAAAGCTGTACCTAAAGTGGTCTTCAGGCAACGCCATTTATTTGGACATTCAATAGTGTCATTGAAACTAACACTCTCAGAAAGGTTCAAAGTTTTTAACTTCAACATGTATTCAGATAAATGACATTTAAATCACCATGATGTACTCATTAAACATACACATCTATGGCTTCCTTCAGCAGCAGATTAGTAAATAAACTTGATGCTGAACCTGTCGATTGACATCAATATGCAAGTCCTGCATACTCAAAGTGAACATGAAGGAATCTTTTACAGGAATAGATGTAGCAACTTGTGCAACATTAACTGGCCAAATGGTTGAACATAAGTGGTCATAGATGTGATAAGGCACAACAAGCATGTCTTTGTGTCTCTCAGGCAGCCCACAGACAAATGAGTGCAATGAACCATTGTGGACACATCCAATAATATATACCACTAGGCAGGTTATTCTTCTTAGAAATAGTCCAACAAACATTTCAGTAAACTTGCTTGAGCAGTCAAGTCAGGCAACAGGTCCAATGGTTACAAATTTGGATCATTAAGAACAGCATGCATTTTGTCTATGTAATCATACACATCAAGGACAACAATTCCAGTCCCACTGTCAGACTAACAGATGTGCATCTCTGGATTGGCTGGGAAGCCTTGTAATGCTGCCACAAGTAGGAGCAGGCTCGAAGGGCCAGACGGCCTACTCCTGCTCCTAGTTTTTATGTTCTAAGTATGTGTGCGCACACATTATTCATGTACTAGATCAGCTAGGCATCTTTTCAAGTCTTCAGCATCCATAATGCATGCTGGTTTATGGTAAAAAAGCTGAGAATAAAGGTGCTTAAATTAAACAAATAATTCTTCCCATTCGGTGTGGGATGAAGTTGCATCTAAATTTAAGCCATGCATGAGAATGAATTCCTCACTTTCAAAAAGAGTGTATCATCACAGTAATTTCAAAGAGAACGTGATCAAAAAGATTTACCATATGCTTGGTGGCATAATTTTACGAGAATTAAAATTGAATGAACTCAAGAACATTCATTCAAAAGAACTGAACTTCCACAAAAATTATTAAAGCTCTTTTTCTCCTAATTGAAACATACAGGCCATCTACAACAGTAGATAAATTAAAAGACATTTTCTCAAGTTAAAATTAAGTTTAATAGCCAAATGAAGTAAACAAGTCATTGTTTTCATTAAATGTTGAACAGGTCTCAATGATTATCCATCAATGTACTATTTATTTCTTTATGAAAAGGTTTAACAGGACAGTAGGGCAGGAGCCTTGATATAGCATTATTAGAGAAAACCCTTCAGATTTACTGTGTCATAGTGTAAGACAGCTAGCTTCACCAGCAGTTCAAATCTTTGCACACCTTCCAGAATAACAGGAGGCTGCTGTGAAGCAGAAGGACATTTTGCCTCCACATAACTAAATAATGCAGCATGAGCTCCAGTGCTGGTGAGATGCCAGACATGTAGACCATTTGCCCAACTACTGGTGGATAGCATCAGACAACTTCTCCC